TCAGTGGCTTGGCAGTTATGTGATCACATGTGTTGATCTGATGTGATGAACCAGTAAGAGGATTTTGGGTCAGGTACCACAGCCCTATTCCCATCACAGCCCTGATTTCATGTAAGGGAAGGTGCCCTGGAGTGTGGCCTGCAACAGGTTTAACTTAAGAGAAATCAAAGGAGAGAAGAGAGAACAAAGATCAGAGGGACCTGCTACCAGCAAGAAAGAAAAGCTGGGAGTGCGGAAAGTGTGGCCTTTGGACTTAGGGCCCCTGTGCCGTGAAGCTCCTAAATCCAAGGAAAGACTGATGGGAAGAGGCATGGGGATCTCCAAGCGGTGCTCAGCTTATAGATGCTGAAAGGAGACAAGGCTTTCTTTCTCCAGAGCTGGCATTCTAAATTTGGACTTCTAGTCTCCGAAACTGTCAGAGAAGCAATTTCTGTTTGTTAAAGCCATTCACTGTGGTACTTCTGTTATAACAGCGCTAGGGAACTAAGACAGTATGTTAAAACCAAACCCTACTGCCATGGAGTCAATTCTGACTCATAGTGACCCCATATAAGGCCAGGTTGGGTGCTCCCTGATCTAGAGGTTTGTCTCCCACAGTATTTTGATATTCTGTGTTATTTGTTATTGGGTGCTGTCAAGTAGATTTTTGTTGTTGTTGTTGTGAACTGGCTTTACACCATTGTTTCATTGCAATGATTACAATTTCCTCCATGCATCATCATTCAACAGGATTTGATTCTATTTCCTCTGTTTTTCTTTTCTTTTTTGTGAGGAGTGGGGAGATGTACACAAAAACACTCAGGAATAGATATATATATATAAAATCATTCAAACAACCAAAGGGTATATTCTGCAAGCCTGCCTCCTGGCAGCCAGCACCCAGTCCTTCTCTTTCCATGAGTCTAGAGTCCTCAGCTGCTCCCTCTCTCCTGTCCCACCTCTGCCAACATCTCTGGTGTCGTTGCTTCTCTGGATACGGTCACGCATTCTGCTTGTGCTCTTCTCCCTTGATGGTCCTAGGGTTCTCTGTTCCTGGACTGTAAGATTAACTACTCCCCCATTTTTTGTTACAAAACTTCTTTTACAGTTGTGACAGTCACAATTAGTCATGATAACAATAACTCATTATTGAATCACAAGAATCTTATCCCTCCATCTTTTCACTAGACTCATCTAGACAAGATGAAATCTATTCAGTGGGGACTCTACCTTCCCCCGCATACTCTTAAACTAAACTCCCTCTTGAAAACTTGTAAGCAAGTCACTTCGTGCCTTTATCACCCCCTCATTTTAGGTAGCCAATGTCTAAGTTGCTCATGTCAAGCTGACTTTGACTCATTGTGATCCCACAAGGTTTCCAACCCATACTGAAGGCTGTGGTCTTTGATCTTCATCATTAAGTGTTTTAAGTCCTCTTGACTTTCAGCAAGCAAAACTGTATCATCTTCATATTACAGGTTGTTAATGAGTGTTCCTCCAATCCTGATGCCATGCTCTTCTTCATATAATCCATTTCTTGGATTATCTGCTCAAGAGCTTTGGGAAGAAGTTCCCCTTCCAAAGCTGTCCTTCCTTGAGTACTCTCTCTTAGCCCTAGGTTACCATATGGAGTTTTCCTATATTTTAAGCGCCTGATCCAAGCCATGATATTTTCAATTATAACACATGCATGTGAAAGTTGGACAATGCATAAGGAAGACCAGAGAACAATCAGTGCACTGAATTATGGTGTTAGTGAAAAATACAGAAGTACCATGGACTGCCAGAAGAAATAAATCTGTGTTGGAAGCAGTACAAACAGAATTGTCCTGAGGAAGTCAAGCTGGTGAGACTTTGTCTCTTGTACTCTGAGTACCGTTCTCAGGAAGGACCAGTCCCCAGAGAAGGGCATCATGCTTGGCAAAGTGAAGAGTCGATGAAAAAGAGGAAGAAACCCAATGAGACAGAATGACACACTGGCAGTAGCGATGGGCTCAAACATAATGATTGTGAAGATGTTGCAGGACCTGGCAGTGTTTTGTTCTGTTGTGCTTACGGGTCACTGTGGTGGAAATGATTCAATGGCACCTAACAATGACAACAATATATATAGCTTTAAAATTCTTGATATTAAACTTCCCCCTTTAAAAGCCAGTGTATGGTTTCAATCTCTTGATTTGGCCCAGACTGATACAAAGGCGACAGGGAAAAGCCTGAAACCCAGTGTTAGGAAAGCAACATTACTCTATTTCATGAGTAAATACTGTCTCTAAGACTGAGGATCTTGCTAAATCTGTTGATTCCAACGCAGAGTGACCCACTAGGATACAGTAGATCTGTTTCATAGCTGAGACCCAGGAAGTTAATGTGACTTGCTGAAGATGATCTAGCTAGTTCATATCAAACAAGATTTACTTGGTTAGTTCTCAATATTTGTCTATTCAATGTTGTTGTTGTTTTTAAATTAGGCTCTCGTCAAAACGTAAAAACAAAAACCAATTCAATAAAACATTCAAAAAAGAAATACTGAGAACTAACCAAGTGCAAATAAAGATATTGGCTCTGGGGTCTTACATTCCTTACCCCGGTTCAAAGTCAACTCTGCCACTTACTGTGTGACCTTGGAAATGTTATTTATGATCTTTGTTTTTAGTTTATTTAGCTGTGAAATGAATAATAATAAATAGCTATCTAACAAGATGCTTTTGTGGATTCAATGAGATGACTTGGTATTGTTCCTGGTACACAGGAAGGTGAGTCCTAGTAGGTTATATATTGGGCTGCTAACCACAAGGTCAGAAGTTCAAATCTACCAGTCAGCCCGCCAGAGAAGGATGAGGCTTTCTGCTCTCATAAAGTTTTATAGCCTTGGAAACTCTAT